GGGGGGTCAAGTTATAATAGATGAATTATGCATAGTTGACGTGTAGATATCACGACATGTATTTATGATTGTATTTCTAAATTTTGATTGATTTCATGGACAATAAAACCATGTTGATAGTGATGAAATGTAATCAAGTATACTTCCCCGATTTTTTCGTTATCGTCGTTGATGACTTTTTTTTTTCTCCCCATTTCTTCACTTAGAATAACTATATATAATGAACAAGTTGGGAATTTACAAGAATCAAGAAGAGATCAAAAGAGGTAAAGATGACCCAATTTCCCCCTTCTTATCCCCCACCAAAACCAAACTTAACGTACATGTATTTATTTCATTCATTCATTGACTTCATAGTTTCATTCCCCCCCCCCCCTGCAAACCTTACAACTCCTTCTTCAAAAAGTGCTCCGGGCGATGATCAGTTTCATAATCAACATGGACATATGCGCGCTCGACATCAGGCAGGGACTCTAGCTTAATCTGGAGTTCCTCTGCGACATCGTGGGTGGCGCGTAGGGTATCATCTGGATTCATGACGATGTCTACTTCAACGATGAGGCGGGGACCGGAGTGGTAAGCGCGGACGGTGTCAATTTGGAGGATGGTTGGGGAGTGAGTCATTGCTGTTTCCTTGACGTCAGTTTATCTATTCCCCTAGTATCTTTTTTGAGGGGGCGGGGAACTTACAAATATATGTGATATGCTGCAACATACTCGTATCAGCCGTAACGCCAATCAGGAGTTGAAACTCGGAATACGCGGTTCTGCTCCAGAGGAAGATAATGAGGACAGAGAGGATCATGGCACCCATGGGATCGATCCACCATTTAAGTTTGGAGCCACCGACAGAGGTAAGAATACCGAAGCCATTGATGAAGAGATCGTTGCGGTGGTCTTCCCAGAGGATACGAACTTGACTGTACTTGTTGCGCAGCGCCCAGCAGTAGAGGAACAAGCTGAATTTCGTAGCAAAGGCAATGGCAACGGCGATGACGGACGGGAGGTAGAAATCGTTGGTGTCAGGACCGCTGTGTTCGGCGACGGTGCGGATGGATTCGACAATGATGACGACGGAGACGGTGATCATGAGCGCGCAGAAACACAGGTTCCCTGCGGTTTCGATGCGGGCTTTGCCAGAGGGGAACTTGCGTGCGTCGACGCGGGCGACGGCGCGGTTGCAGAGGATCAAGGTGAGGTTGGATAAGGGGTCGAAGAGGGAATCGGCCATTGTGGTGAAGAGGGAGAGGGATTGCGAGGAGATTGCTGCGTAGAGCTGGAGCACAGCGAGGATGATATTCGCGGCGAAAGAGCCGATGACGGCGATTTTGTACTTGAGGTGGTTTGCATCTCCCTCTTCTTTGGCAGCGCGCCGGTGGTCATCGACGGGTTTAAGGAGGCGCTCAATGTTTTCATTTTGGGCAGAGTAGAATTCCTCGAGTTTCTTTGCAGAACGCGACTTCGCGTTCAGGCTGATGGGGCCGCAGCCGTCGCGCTTGCGAGACGTGTTGGCGCGGATCAGGGCGAGCTCGGATTCGGGCTTGATGGCGGCCGCCAGCCTGTACGGGTCTGTGTCGGGCGTATAGGCGGGGGGCGACTGCGATTCTACGTCTGCGGCATTGGCCGATGAGGCGGTGACATGGCGGGCATGATGGTCGGTGGACGTGGAGGGCGAGCGGTCAATTGCTGTGCTGCTGCCGCCTGTCTTGCCTCGGGTTGCAGCGTCGCCGTGCGAGGAGCTGCCTGCAGGAGTAAGATGAACGTGTGGGCTAGATGTACGTTCTATGCGATCCGGATGGGTGTGGAACGGATGTGGTTTCATGGATATGGCACGGTGGAGATCGGGTTCCGACGACATTGTTGCAGGGACGTAGCCTTATGTCGCAGGGTTATGCCGTATCACAATGGGAGAAGTACGAGCGTTAGAAATGAAGAGGTCAAGAGGGAGGTCTGGCTGTCAGCACGCCTATCTCTATTTACTAGTACACATCATCATCGCCAACTGCCGTCGCCCTTCACGGCAGGGCAGCGGTCAGATTGGTCCGGTGGTGGCCAAGCTGCTAGGCTAAGATCAACGGCGTAAGGGCCAGGCTTGGGTCTTGGATACGGCGCACGTGGGGAAGATTGGTGGTGGAGAGAGGTGCTGTCACCCATTGCCTATGCTATACACGGTAAGTTTGCACGAGACCAAAGTCTTGTACAATGAAAGAAAAGACTTTTCACTACTATTGCGAAGCGACACGTAAGTAAGATGCTTAATGGTAGGCTCTGCCAACCATCATCTGTCAACCCCCACCTTGTTGCCATGGCTTGCCATGACGCCGTGCCACTCCGCGTCTTATCGATAACAAGCACCCGCTGGGCTCCGCACATCACATGGAGCACAAGAACACCGGAAGCCAAGAGTGCGGACAAGAAGCCAAGCATGACTGTTTATGCATATTCGCCCAGGATAATGCCACTCCGCTTTGTATCCACTACTGTCTACCTCTAAGCTACGTGTTCGCTGTGACGTGCCTATATCTCTAGTCACCTATATCCCCCCTGTCCTCTCAAACCTCACCCTCCGCTTCATGCCAATTTAGCTGCAACCAGTAATTCCGGGTATCAAGATGCAAACAAGCCCCTCTCATCTCTAACGGAATAGCCCAACGTGTGTAAAGCACAAGAAGTAATAACAAGAAAGGAATAAGAAGATGAAGAAGCTAAATCGTACATGCTTACCGCCGAAAACGGTGATGAAAGGATCATAAAAAGTGGTTTGTAACATAAGTGCATGATATAATGATAAATGGGGGAATCGAGAAGAAGGAGAATGAGAAAAGAAGATGCATCCGTGCAATGCGGTATGAAGAGAAAATGACGATGAAGAAAACAACGCTGTCATAAAACGTGAAGAAGAGAAGAAGAAGCCAAAAAAAAACGCGAATCAAAGTGACGAAGAAGAAAAAAAAAAGAAGAAGTCAAACCCAAACCATGTGTATCCTCACCATCCATCCATCCATCATTCCACCCCATCAAACCCTCCATCATCATAAAGAATCAAAAAAGACAACCGCCGTCTCCCGTAATCAAAGCCAAAAAGAAACTCGGAGTATCTCCCAGTCCAGCAACCACTCCGCCATAATCCCTGAGAAAACGCGGAACATTCCGCCCCTACGCAAATTTGTCTTACTCCCAAAGCAACAGCAACGACGACGAGATGAAGAAAGAAAAAACAACGATAAACCCCCCCGGGAACGCTTGGTTGCTTAACGTGTAATATCTTATCCCCCCACTAATCCCTTACTCGCTTCACTCACCCAGTTTCGGTTGGGTAAGTAAAAAAGAACAATTACAAACCCAAACGGGGGATATCCTGGACCGGAGAAGGCTCCGAGGCGTAAAGGACGGATGATGTACACAAGTTCGGTGCAAAAAAGGACTGCCCTAAATTGGGCCGTGACAAAAAGATTCCGCCACAATGTCATCCGTGCTTTTTTGGCGTCCCTTCGAGGGAAGTGGCGGATCCGCCTGGCTAAGGGGGGGGGGGGGACTTGTCTCATCCTTTTTTCCTCATTTTCTGAGATGGGCAAAAAAATCCCAAGAGTTCAATGTAATCCCTATTTCGGATAATCATCCGTTTTAGGGCTGATCGACGATCCGGTTGGCGGTGGGTATGTATTGTACTTTCTTCAAAGTGACAAGTCCTAATTTCCGTTCATCCAGCATGGGGCGCCGGGTCCAGACTCTTGCACGGCGTGTGCATAGTCATAATCGTTGCTGAGTCCAAAGGGTGGGTCGAGCAGGTCGGGCATGTTGGTGTCCCACATCATGTCATCCCAGAAGTTGTTTAGGATGGTAGGGTCGTTCCTGGGTGCAGCCCAGGTCGGGGTGGCAGGGTTGTAATGGGCGAATGTGGCGGCGTGTTGTGCGTAAGCGGCGGCGGCGTCCGTGTTGAGCATTGCAGGCGCTTGTGTTCCTGGGACCGTAAATTGGGTATGCATCTGCTGGTGGTGGTTCTGCTGCTGCGGATACATGATTGGTGATACGACGGTCTGTGGCTGGTGGGATACCGTGGAAGCATGGGTTTTGTATGCGGCATATAGTCGTGTGACAACATCGCAGCTTCGCTTGGCAGCAATGCTCCAATCCTTGGCCTGTCCGAAAAACGCCAGTGCTGTCTCGATGCTGGCTTTCCACTTTTCCGTCTCATCGGGCATGCTTGCATCGCTGAAGAGTGACACCAGTGGAACCATGCAAGCCTGGAAGCAGAACCATACTGCATTCCAACAAGATATCAGATCAGGCATGCATTCTTGACTCATATCTTCAATCGTCTGGCAGGCAATCTGTCGGCACTTCCTGACTGCAACTTTCTCTTCTGTGCTTAGAGCAGCCCACGGTGCGCGTCGAAGTGCGGCGGCGAGCAGAAAAGGCCGATGAAGGATGATCCGAATGTTTTGCAAGCGCCACTTCATAACTAGTCGTACTCGACGCAGGAACTCGGGACATGGCTCGCTAGTATTCGAAAGGATGGACGGCAATTCGTCTTTCCATTTAACCAAATGGGCGTCGTAGCTAGCTGTCTCTGCAGAAGGTAGGATCGGGCATTCGACAAGACGGTCCTGTATTCTAGTAGCTATCTGGCAAAACGCAGAGGCATGGGTCAGAGGAAGGGCCTTTAGTTGTGAGATAAACTGCGGGCTGTCGGGCAGTACGCTGTGCACCTGGTGGCAGATTAGTTACAGAGATGGAACATAACAAGGGCCTTGGTACTTACAGAATTTTCGACCGTTCCAGGTCTGAGGACGGTAATAGAAGGACCCATCCTGCCCAGTGAAGGCCGACCTGTTGTAGTTGATGCCCAAGAGTCGAGACAGAAGAGGCTCCACCAGATGCGTCTTCTCATCTCAGGAGAAATCGAGTCTTTTTCGCCTGGTACAATGAACTGTCCGCTCGCATCACTTCTCTCCGAGTACTCGCGGTGTAGGCCTAGCGCAGTGGCCATGCGAAGTGTGGCACCCATGAGTGAGTGTGCCTCATTGGGACGGTTGAGGTAGTGCATGTAGTATCCACCCATAATGGCCAATGCTTGCAGTACTTCCAGATTGCCGCTCCCAAACGACTCCAGTGACAGGTGCCGTCGCGATCGACTAAAGTACACATAGTGTGCCTCGTTGTCTGCACCGGATGATGCAAGCGAACCCATTGCGAAGACCATGTTTAGCAGGGCCAGCCATGCTGAGTCTTTGCGGTTACCGTAGAGATAGGTAGACCAGAACTTGCCCTCGTCAATCATTGGAAAGAAAGGATGTACACGGTCAAAATAGATTTCGATCAGCCCCTGGCCCTGCTCAAGAGACGGCAAGGCATCCGGACTGTTGTCTGTCAATTCAGGCTTTGGGGAACCTGCACGGCTCGGGAGTGCCGTCTCCTGCCGGCTATGTAAAATGAGCGACTTTGCCTGTGGAGCGCACCGTATAATGACTTTCAGTGCCGCTGTGATTGAAGAGATGCCAACGTAGGATGACAGCCGGTCCACTGACATGGAAAGGCCGTTTACATCATCGGAGATACCCTGGACTCTGAGCTGGTGCTTGCGTGCCTCGTCCCAGTAGGGGTCTTCGGGAGGCGCCTGTTCAAGCGCCTCGAGACTTTCAGGGGCTTCAGACACTGTTCGGGCTTCGGACAAGACTTGTGAGTCTGTTGCAGATGTGGTTGCTGCTGATGGAGATGTTGTTGCGTTTGTCGGTGCAGAGGAAAGAGCCAATTCCAGGAGCTCTTCACGCGGAAGATCAGTCAATGACTCGAGGCTCTTTACTCCATAGAGTTTGGTGAGAACACTCTTGTACTGTTCAATGTTGTTGGAAAGCTTGTCGAGAAGTCTTGTCACCTTGGTCAGTACAGGATGTTCGAAACAAGAGGGGTTCGTGTGGTACACTACTACTACTACTACTAATACTACTTACTTTCTGCTGGGCACGACTCGTTGGGCGGGTTTTGAGTAGCCGCATGCTTCTGGGTGCTGGTACCACTGGCACTGACCACACGGCTGCAGACCATCGCAGCGGATCTTGCGTCTTCTGCACTCGACGCAGGCGTTGCTGGTGGAAATGCGGCGGGAACCTGGGTGTCGTGATGGTTTTCCGGGGCTCTCACTCTCTCCACCAGGCAGGCGCACGCCGACAGAGGACTGAAAGGTGTGAAACATGATGCGATAGTTTCGGTGGTACCCGGGCAGATTGTGCGATGCACGACGGCAGACAAGGGGAGGGAGGGAGGGAGCGATGTGCGGTGCAGAATGTCTGCACGGCAAGTGATTGCGGACCCAGGAGGCAGGTCGAGGCGTAGGCACAGTCAAATAGAGGTGGCGTGGGCGGTAGACGACGAGATACAACGGGCCAAGAAGAGGGTATGAAGGATGTACCAGTGGTAGGCCGAGATGCAATATAGCTCGAGTGGGACTAGGGATGGCGTTGAGACCGGGATGGTTGATATATCAGAGACGATGCGATGAAGGGGGGCAGCAGAGGGACAGCCTCGCACAAGGCATGCCACAGACAGACAGGCTTCAGCAAAACTGGGTCGAGGGCAAATGGGTCAAGGGCGGTTTGGCATCTGGCAGCTCAGGCGGGCGCCGTCATGATGCTTGGGGCGGCGCGTCGAAGTGGTGTACTTTGCGGCAGCTAGCGGATCGCATAGTAAGGCCGGAGTGATAATGGAAAAAGACGAGCCAAAGCGGCCCACGAGTGAGGGTATAGTCCCCGCATTATAGCCCTTGAACCCTCACTCCCCGCCCCCCTGGTGTGGCCCATATGCAACCAGGGTTTGCAGGTGGAGGAGAAAAAAAACAGGCGAACGTTGGACACGGGCGGACGGGAACGATTGCGTCTGCGCAGCCAAGCGAGATTGGAGATGGGCATGGCATGGGACGCGCCGCCGGCCCCCTCCCCTTCCCCCAGGCCTTCGAGAAGGCGTCCAGAAGAAGCGCTGCGACAACCACGAACGCATCCCACCCAGCCGTCCTCGATTGCCCGCTTCGTCTTTTTTTCTTTCTTTCTTTGCCTCTATCTTGCACCATAGAGACCTGTCCGTCAGACTGCGCCGGCGGCACTACTGCACGTCGTTTCAGCAAGGTGCGGCTCATCCTTCCCGCCACGATGAGGCAGACGGCTCCCTCGATCGCACAACCAACAGTTGGGCCTGGCGGTATGGTAAGTATGGCAAGTAGTGTAATGCGCCCCTCGTATTCGTGAGGCCGGACAGCGGGCGTATTCTTGGTGATCGTGAACCTAAACCCAAACCTAGTCGTAAGTGCTCACACACAATCTTCCTCATACACCCGCTCCCTCGGGATAGCAGCAGCCGATCCGTGAGTGAATGCACACTGCACGCGCCCCCTTCGCGCCCCCTTCACCCCTGCGATCCAGCGACTCCCCAGCCCAACCGACTTACTGTACCGCCACCGTCTTGCTGACAGACTACTGGCTACAACATCCATGCTACTACCATGTGCGTACTTCCCTTACGTACCCGTACCAGGGCCTACCATCCATCGCCTCCCGGGTCGACACCACGCCTGGGCCGACCAAGACACCGTCCGCCGTTCGCCGCACACAAAACGCCCCCCTCCCCTCCCTGTACGCGGCATGCGGCTGCCACACATGCACTTGCCAGACCCCCTCTAAACGACTGCATGCCGACCAATGCCGAGCTGCCCGTTTAATTACCCTTGGACGTTGACACACCTCGTATGGAACGCTTGGCTAGCCTTAACACAAACTACATGGCCTATACTAGCCTCACATATACCCGCCAGTTGTAACTTCTACTCGACCAAAGCTTGTATGCCGCCTCATCGTCTTCATCTCTCCTTGTGCCCTTGCATATAATACTTCTTGTGCTTCTAAGCCACTTTGGATCACGCATACAACACTTATTATACACACACGATCTGGTAAAATCCTACAGCTCTTAGTTTCATGGGGGAGGGGGGGCCACCCCGGGTTTGCCCATCTTCAATCTTAATCTTATCGACACGCGGGCTGACCAGATCCTCTTACTTCTCACTCTTACTTACGTTTGTCCATCAAGTAGCCGCCTGTCCCCATGCAAGGCTGGGTACAATCTGATAGTAGCTCTGCATAATCCCACCGTTTTGCCACCGTTCCTGGCCCCCCTCCCCCATCATCATCTCCCGATCATGCCCGCCCCGATGCGTATGCATAGTATGCTGACCTTTAGTCTTTGCCCAGATATGTCCACCGTAGTGGTTCATCCTGCTTACCTAGTCCCCTCACTTTGATGACCTGCTCGTCACCAGGGACAATGTCTATGGCACTGTCGTGTATCAGGACGCCCGAGCGCTCCTCGAAAACTAGGCCCTTTGTCGGCTTCTGGGCTCTGACTACAATCGTCTCGCCGTGCGGTATTACTTCCACGCCTCGACTGTCAAAGTCCAGGTACTTGAGCGGCTGCGGCCAATCCACGTCGCGCGACACAATCTCCCCATTGACCCATATGCGTACGGCTAGGACATGCGGCTCCTCGTTCCGGTTGTCAATCGTGCCCGACAACATGTCCGTCGTACCGTTCGGTACAAGCTTGACGTCCTTCTTGACCACCTTGTCCTTAATCTCCTTCCCACTCGTAATGCTAATATACCGCAACTCAACCGTCGCCGTAACCTCCTCTAGCTTCTGGTTCGCGACCCAGACTTCAAAGTCGCTCGTGCTCGGCACTCTTGCGTGCACCACGCTCCAATCAAAGTGCGCCCGCTTGACAGCAACGGCAATGGGTGCAAGTACCCTGCGCATTGCGTAATACGCAGGCTTCTTGCGCTGGAAGTAGTCCACAATTGACCACGACGTGACTGGCCAGCAATCGTTGAGCTGCCACACAAGTGCGCCGCCGCAGTGCCTATCCTGTCCCCATTGACGCCTCCAGCCCTGATAGCCAAACATTAGCGCTTCGGCCTGCGAGAGTTGGGTGAGATGGATAAAAGACTATTCGTTGTTAGCATTCATACAGCCTATATTGCGACCCCACTTGGTCATAGTTCTCGACCATGAACCAGGTAACCGTCGAACGCGGCGCATACCTCCAAATCCGTCTTGGTGCGGAAATTCTCCACTAGATACGTTGCTATTCGCCGCTCGTGGCCATCGGCCTTGTTGTGAAAGTCGAGCATGTGGCTCTGCGGGTACAGTTGCGAAGGATCGGTGCAATAGTACTTGATTGTATCGATATGGGGAAACGCCTCCATACCAAACTCGCTATTGAAACGCCCGCCAAGGGTATCGAAAATTTGGTACTTTTCCTGCCTGCCATGCCACACTAGATGCATTGAATTATTAGTTTGTCGAACCTGGCGCAATATGGGGATCGTTACCGTTCCATTGATGCATGTCACCCACTGTGGGGTTGGATGTTTTGACCCCGTCGCCCCATGGCGAGCCCGGATGATACGGTACATGCGGGCTCTCCGCGGCAACGACGTCAGGTAGCAGCTGGTCGCATGCTCGTTAGTATCAATGACTCGGGGTCTGCCAGCATGTCTGACGCACGTACCTTTTCGTAAATATACCGCGCAGGGAAATCAGTCTTGAGCCAGCTCTCCGGGTCCTTGTCCTCGTAATCGTAGGTCAGGCCAAATTGTTCTTGCACCTGATAGTCCTCGTTGTTACCAGCATAGATGATGATCGATGGGTGGTGTCGCAGTCGGGTGACGTTGGCCGTGCATTCTTCCTTGATTGATCGCAGAATGTCCGGAAAGGCGGGATAGTTGCCGCAACCAAACATGAAATCCTGCCACACTAAAACACCAATCTCATCGCAGATGTCGTAAAAGATATTCTCTTCCCAGATGCCACCGCCCCATATGCGAATCATTACCTGATACCCATCTACCATCATCTCCAGCCATTTGCGGTACTTGTCTTCGCTCACTCTGGGGGTAAATGAGTCTGCAGGGATCCAGTCTGAGCCACCACAGAAGACATCGACGCCGTTGACTCTGAAGTAAAAGCTTTTTCCAATGGCGTCGGGCTCTTGAACAAGCTCGCCTCTTCGGAAACCTGTTCTACGTGATGTTTGATGCAGCTCTGCTCCATCTGCCAGGGCCGTTGCAGTGAAAGTGTAGAGAGGCTGCCCACCATAGCCGTGAGGATACCACAGTTTGGGGCTATTGACATGGAAATCCACATTCGCCACGCCGCTGATGATCTTTGTCGTTTCCCTAAACACACTTGTCTCCCCATCAAACACGTTGAAGCAGACACTGTCTGCCGAGGAGCCTTCGATGACTACCGATATCGTCCCCTGAACTGACTTGAGGCTGTCATCAAGTTGATAGTCGATCCTCAAATCTTCGATTCTGGCTGCGTAGCTTTCCAGCCGGACTTCACGCCATGGACCACACGTATTAAGGATTGGGCCCCAATCCCAACCCCAGTGGTACTGAGCTTTCCTTACGCCAAGCCTGGCCATGTCGCCATTGAACCCAACCCATTTGTGCTCCGGGTGATTGTCCTTGATTTTGATGGCCTCAAGGCGAGCAGATGCAAAGTCGATTTCCAAGACGTTTTTGTCGGATTTGAGCTTCTGGGTGACATCGATGCGGTGTGGGATAAACATGTTGCTACTTTCAAGGATAGTTGCTCCATTAAGCTTGACGGTTGCAAAAGTGTCCAGGCCATCGAATGCTAGGACATGCACAGTGCCTTGCTGTGCTTCAGGTACTTTGGGCAATTCAACCTTGTACTTCCACACCTTGTCTGCTACCCACTCAGCTCCAAGTTCATTGAAACCTAGAAACGGATCTGGAATTCTGTCTCTTGTAAGTCCTTTCCAAGCGATAGTATTCTTTTTTTTTTGCTTAGATCAGAACATACTTGTCATTGTCCATTAGGTCCAAGTGGACATTCGTAGGCACTGACTTCACTGGCATCCAGCTATCTTCGGTATCGTCAGCCTGCTTGAAGGTCCAGCCCTCAACCAGTCGGTGGGCGTTGAAAGTCTGGTTCCTTGCCATGGTGGCTACGTTTTGAGGTGGCCAACCCGTTGGTGAACCTCAATCGTTGCCGGAGCTGCAGATGAGCGGAATGAGCAATGAAGCAATGTGGCAATGTCCTCTTGAAAGACGCCAAAGGGCTTCTTCAGCATATATAACAAACGGTGGATTCTGTCGGAGTACGACATGCCGCGCGGAGA